GCCGGGGGGGGGGGGGGGGGGAGAAGAAAAGATCTTGTAATTATGTAATAATGCAAGGGTTGGAATAGTGACAAACTGGCCTGAAACTCACCAGGTTTTAACAGATTCTTTAGTAAAGTAATTCAGCCTATATTTGTTTACATTTTGGAACACTATGTGGAATTAGTCATTAAGAGTTTGCTTTTGCTATGTACTACTGGATGTACTAACGGCCATCACTATTGGTTTGATACTAAATTAGTTTAACTGATCATTTTCAGGCACATTCTGCAGCATTCCAAGCCCTGCCTTCTCATAATTGTGATAATGTATTTATAAGATCAGGATTTCTCTTTGGTGAATGTAATGCGCTTTAATTCACATAATATACACACATGGCCACTTCTGTCAAATTAAGCACTATGTTTAAACAACAGCAAGCTGTTGGTGGCTGTATTTCTATTTTTTTTAAGCAAGGTTTCACATGTATGGGCCACTGATTTAATTTAATGGAGCTGTTTGACAGAGACTGACTTGTTTCAAGTTCATCTTCAACCTGAGCAGTTTGTAAGACAGCGAACATAACATCTCACACCTACCAGTCTGTACAGAGGTAAATATGAACTGCATGTCCAAATAAAAAGGATTAAGATGGAACTTAAATTTATTAATTTTTATTAAGCAATACTGTTCACTTACATTCCTCCTCCTTCTCCAGTGTAACTTTATTGAATAGATTCTTTTCACAAAAAACTAAATAAATCTACAGAACAAACATGAGAACCCTTATAGATTCATGAGTAACATTCATCCAATTAGGGAACCAAAATAAAAAAGGAAGGAACACAGCATTAAGATCTGACAGGGGTAAAGGGTGAACTCTATTGTGCCTTTAACTACACCTGTCTGTAAACTGAAGACACTGATACAGATGTCGTCTGCATACATGAACCATAAAATTTTAAACTCAAGCAAGACATTCTGCTGCTTATAATCGAGAGGGGGAAAATATCACTCTGGTGAGGGTTTCTCGCACACAGGGGTTGGTCACAATAGATTTAAAACAAAGTGCTGGATTGACCACTCTTTGCAGAGGACAAAGGAAAAATTTTGATAAAACTGGACAAAAATTTAAATTACAGCTCCTTAAGAGATTGTTTAAAAAAAAAAAAAAAAAAGACCAGCTCTACACATACAAGCTAAAAATGGTCAGAGGTGTTAAACAGGTCTGATTAATTAAGGCGTTCTGTAAGGCGTTAAAAAGTCCATTGCTGTAAGATCTCAAAAGAGTTAGTCCAAAGTGTCTCAGTGTGGCGTTGTGTGAAGACATCATCCTGAGTGCAGTGTGTGTGAAAGGACTCCAAAAGTAGTCCACCTTTTGTGTTTTCATGTGCATGTAGGTGTTTTGCGTATGTGCTTATATATGCTTTGGGTTTCTCACACTGCTAGGCTGGATGCTCCTGGGTGTCCTTGTACCACACAACCCTTTTAGGATCTGAAAAACAGAAAATAACTTTCTCAGAGATGTTGAGGAACAAAAGACAATGTTTGTCAGATTAAATAAAGAACAACCTAAAGACAAGCAGGTTACGTTACATTATTTGTCTATAAGTGCAAGTGGTCGTCTATCTCTGTGTCTGGAAACTGCCCAGTGTCAGCTGGGATCAGCTCCAGCCCTTCTGTGATCCTCTATAGGACAAGTGGTAAAGCTGATGGATAAATCAAGGATTGTTTGATACCAGTTCTGCACAATAAGCTGATAACACTCGAGTGCCTTATTGTATACACTCTTAACGTTGTCCCAGCTGCACAATAAATGGCTACAAAACAGTGGTTTCCATTTACAACCTAAACATAACCCGCTGAGGGCTCTGGATGCCACTGTCAAAGACCACATATCTACACAATACAATGACTATACCTGACATAATTGTTTCCAAAAAACACAACTATCAAATGCTGTCATGAAGGTGCTGAAGCCAGTTTCGCTACATATAAAACATTGCTGCATCTCAGGTAATTTTCAATGTCTTGTCTGTTTTTGTTGTTGAAATGGCATGACAACACTGACCAGTTTACTCAAGTCACTCACCTTTTTTCTGTCTGTTACATATAGCATTCCATTCTGAGGAGGAAAAAAAAAGAGTCAGTGTTAGAGGTATTGTACAGAAATAACTTTCAGATTAAGAAAAAATACTGGCAAGTCTGTCTTCATTTCTCTAGGTCTCACCTCTATTGTGGTGATTCAAAGCCTCCACTAGATGGCGACAGCTAAGCAGCAGCGTGCCATTGCTCTCGTCCACCTCTGGGCATGTGATGGGGGTAACAGAGGTAGCAACTTGAACAGGTGTTTCTTTGGTGGACTGGGCAGTGAGACCGGTGTGGAGCTCTAGGTCCGCTGACTGATTAGCATCTGCATGCTGAGGTGGGAGGGTGTTGACAGCAGGGTGAGTGCAGGAGCCCTCCATGACCGGCCTTCCCTCACTGATGAAACAGAGACCCCACCGGTTCTGCAGCAGCGCACCAATTGCAGACCGGTCCTCCTCCAGGGCTCCACTCGTTGCCCCTGCCTTCACCTTGGAGGCGTAGCTGACAGCAGGCTGCAGCTTGGCTGGGCTGTCCTGCACTGGGAAGGCAGGAGGGGGCTTGAGCAGTGATAGACTGTCCTCCACCCACCTATCTTTCTGGTTAACTTTTTGTGACCGCTCGCCAACTCTGCTGACCCCCTTTTGACTCTCCCTGCGGAGACTGCGCCCTTTGTGTTGCAGACGCTTGCGTTCCTTTTCCCTGCGAACGCTGAAGGTTTGTGTGTGACCAGGTCCAATCAGTTCACCCTCAGGTGAAATTTGCTGGGGCTGCTGGTCACCCCCAGAGACACAGCCTCCACCTCCACCACCTCCACAATTTCCTGAGCCAGGAGACAGGCGACGGTTGCGAATATGTGGCTCCGAATTGGTGGCTGAAACAAGGACCGCTGGATCACACAGAGTATCTGACTCACACACAGTGTTGGTAGCTTCCCATGTACCTGAAGAAGAGGAGTTAACAGGTTATCACATGTTTGAATATACTAATATACATCTATCAAACTTAACAGTGCTGTGTGAAAGAGTTGTAACTTGAGAACATTAACATCTGGGCTAACAATCGCTATTTTATCTGTAAAAATCACAAATCACTGTAGGTGATTGTAAGTGTAATAGGCACACAGTGTGTGTGTGTGTAAATAGGTATTTCATACAATATTTTCGATTGTCACTGGTTCATACAAAAAATAATTGTTGCTCTTGGCTGTTTTATATAAACACACACTCGGGATAGACGACACATTTTCGTGCGACATCAGTGTGCCAGGTCCGTGAATGGCAGCCTATTTGTCAAGCTGCGCAGAAAATGTATATGTCCTGGTAGCCCGATATGACTTTAAGGTATAACACTTTTGGAATATCAATATCAGTCAATATTACGTTACATCTCTCGGTTAGTGATTTAGTGACAATGTTGGACAACAAGGCGCGTGTCATTTAACATTTTATGGCTCATTATAAAAAGCAGTGACTGGTCAGCTAAGCACTGATGGGAGTATTGCTACAATATTCTTGTAGTTGAGCCATTTTTATCCATAGAGTAGAAGACAGCCTGAACTAGACAATACTGTTCCTTATTTTTAGGGCATGTCAACTGAAAATACCTCCTCGTTGGCGATACGGTTGGTACAGCCAATAGGAGTTTTGTAGTGTTACAAAACTTGAGGAGTCAACGCGATTGAATAACGAATAACTTACACCCGGCCTCAGTAGCCTGTTCGCTCATAAGCGCCACGCTTCAAAGAAACAATACCGGGGTGTCTCACCCACCAACAGGCAGAGAATTTTCGAGAAACTAGCTGACTGTACAGACTTTCCAGTCTCCGTCAAAACGAGCAACTTGGCTGCTATATTAGAGTCTCCTAGGGTGAAATAACATCTTGCGTTTCAAGTGTGCAGCACTGGTAGCTAACAGGAGAGCACAAGCTATGCGCAAACACCGATGTTAGCAAACTTTAATTAGCAGCGTCATGGCGCCGCGAGTTAAACTCGATAGTCTTATTCATCTGCCGTCACAACGTGGTCAGTGTAGTTCACCAGTGTTTTAATATCGACTGTCGTCGAGGACATGGCTTCATTTTTAGCATACCAATACACTAACAGCCAGTTGGCATGTTCGCTGAAATCAAAGTTTCGTACACCCCCACCCCCCATTCAAAGCGGCGAGCAGGGTGCTATCGATACCACTAACGTTAGCACCGTTGCTAACACCGCGGTAAGCCAACAGAATAGCACTAATGAAAGTGAGTAATTTCGTTCACATGTGTCAAAAAGTTGTATAAACTTACCTGTTTTGATATGCATGTCCTTTCGCTTAATGTGTCGCTGAAGCTGAACCGTTTAGTAACTTTTGTTTACAGCATTAAGATAACGACCGCTTGCTGGAAGAATCTTGTTTAGCCACCCGGAAGCGACATGGAAATGTGGGTGGGACAGGAAGTCTCTGTCCCATAAGCGGTCCGGCGGTAAACATTGAGGAAGAATAATCGGCTAAATTCTCCATTAATACATCCATGGGCTATGTATTATAATGATAACCCATGTGATGAGCAATCACGAGTTAACAGTGATATGATGTATAACAACAATCGAACATGTATGCAAATACAATTAGGATAATTTGTATAAGTTCCCCGTTCAATGTTTCAATTTTATATGTACAATAATAATTGTTTTTCACATGCCTCAACAAATTGGATAAGGAGAAAAGACTTATTTGAGTTGGGTAATTGTTCCTTTTCTGCATCTAAACATTACTTAGATAATCACTTCTTGTTTGACTTATCTTCATAAACCACAGATGTTGAACCACTGACAATGTGCCTAAAATAGATATTCATTTTAAGTTGTCACAAGCCAAAGAGGTTGAGAAACACTGACATTCAGCACTGTGTTGGATGGCCAGACTGTCATTATTAAAATTAGCCCTTATTTTTTGTTTGGGAGATACACTTACAAATTCTGATAATATCTAACTCTTGTCCTATGGAGGTTGAAATCACTGACTGTAAGTTGTGTTGAACAGAAACATCTACTATATAAATGTATTTATTTGACCACAAATTATATTTGTCAGCAAACACCAAAAAAGCTATCATTCCTATGTTTCCAAAGGCAATTTTCATGTAACAAAAATCATTACAATAAAAAATAAAAAAATTCTGTTGATTTATACGTTTTAATGACAACAATCATCATGTTCTAATAAATACATTATTAGCTCTTGACAGCTCAAAAGTTAAATGATTCCACGACTATACCCTTTTCCATGTGTGTACGCATGTGTCTCTTCAGCCTTGTAGATGCAGAGAAACTCTTTTTACAGAACATACAGCTGTGTGGCTTCTCCCCGGTGTGTGTTCGGATGTGCATGTTAAGGTCAGAGGAGCACCTGAACTTCCTCTCACAATAGCAGCAGGGATAAGGCCTTTCTCCTGTATGGATCCGTTTGTGAAGGAGCAGCTCACTGGATGTGAGGAAGGTCTTTCTGCATTGAGAGCACTGGTGGGGTCGCTCCCCTGTGTGAATCAGGTTGTGTCGCACGAGTGAGGTTGATTTGGCAAACCTCTTCCCACAACATGTGCATGCAAATGGACGCTCACCTGTGTGTGTGTTGAGGTGCTCACTCTGAGCACGTTTCGTTTTAAAGGTCTTTGGGCACTGTGAGCAGCTGAATGGCTTAAAGTTGCTGTGGCTGTGCTGATGTCTGACCAGCTCTCCATGTGTGAGGAACGTCTTCTCACAAGTGGTGCAGTAGTACGGCCTCTCGCCTGTGTGGGTTCTCTCGTGACGTGTCAAGCTGGCCAGCTGGGTGAAGCTCTTCTCACAGCAGGAGCACTGGAAAGGCCGCTGGCTGTTGTGAGTTAACAGGTGCCTGTTTAGGATCTGGAGTTGTGTGAAGCTCTTCCCACACTCTACACAGGAGTATGGACGCTCCCTGGTGTGGATCTGCTGGTGCTTATTCAAAAGCCACACATGCGTGAAGCTTTTCCCACAATCGCAGGCAAATGGCCGCTCGCCAGTGTGTTTCATCTGGTGTCTCTTTAAGTCTGACGCTCGGCTGTAGATCTTCTCACACAGAGAACATTTGTACTGATGTTGTACCACATGCATCTGCCTGTGCCTCAGCCGATCCAGGATGCTGCTAAAGCACTCTCCACATTTCTGGCATTTGTACTGACCACTGGCCTTCTCTGATGCTTCCTCTGCTACTACAACCTCTGTTGTTAACTCTAGGGGAGGGTTGCGTGCTTGGCCGCATGCGGTTCTTTCGAAATGCAGTTTGAGCAAACCCATCTGTGTGAACCGTTTGCCACACTGGGAGCAGAGAAAGGGTCTTTCCCCAGTGTGAATGCGCTGATGTCTGGTCAGATCCCAAGAGTTCTTGAAGCCCTTTTTACATTCCTCACAGGTGTATGGGCGCTCACCCGTGTGGGTGCGCTGGTGACGCGTCACATCTGAGGTGCGTGTAAATGTTTTGCCACACTCCTGGCACACATGAGGGTCAGGTTTGTCGTGTATGGGAAAAGGCTTTGGGAACTCAGGATGCTGCATCTTCTTCTTGGGGGCCTCAGCTGTTTCTGCAGTCTTCTGGAACCTGTTGTAGCATTCAGGGTGACTGTGCTCAATGTGCTGCAGCAGGTAGGACTCCTGCATGTGGAAAAATGGACATTTGGAGCAGGCAAAGACCTGGGAGGACATCTCCACAGCAGTACCTATGCAGAAGGTACACAGAAGAAATAACTAGCATCTTTATGTTCCCTCAAATACAGACAACTGTTTGTTGTGTTATTGCATGAAAATGTAAAGTCCCTCTAGGTCTCCCACAGGCCTTCCTTCTCCCATAGAGCCACAATCAGCTGGCTAAATTTGAAATCACGTGTCCACACTAGTCATTTTTATAAAGCGCTTCAGCCACACAAAAGTGCTACCTGAACAATAGGAAAACTAAATGTCTTCACTGGCATGTTGTCAGACAAAATAAACACACAGGTTAATGCCAACAGGTGTTCTGTGAGTCAAAGTGAGTAATCATTGTGTTAAAGGGAACAGAAAGTCATCTTCATGAATTTAACACTACACAACCCCCTTAGGGCAGCTTACATCCTTATGATCCACACGAAAACACAAACTAAGCACTGTGAGATGTATTCACCATGGAATCTGCTTTCAAAAAGCTCAGATTTCAGGCCAGAGCGTGAAAGATGAACTACCTTATTGCAGACCCTTCACCTTAAACTCATTTACTATTTCTAGAATGTAATTTCCATTTAACAGGTCTAATTAGTTTGCTGTTATCTACTAAATTATAGGTAGCAGAGACAAATCTCAGTAGCACTCAAGTGGTGAGAAACAATATGAACACAACTGGCAATGATTAGCAAATGTCAGATATATTTGATATGGATGGGACTTCTTAGAAACCACAATGCTATCTTCACAGCAGTTCAGTGACAAGATTCTGGAAAATGTGCATTCTGAACATCTGACTTCACTAAACTGTCATGTCATTGCAAACTAAGGAGACATTTAATAGGTGCTACAGTAGCAACATAGCTGGAGCTGTTTAAAAACTAGACAGCACTCAGAGAATACAAACATCTGCCAAAGCAGCTCAGTTTCCCCTTAATGCCATTACACCTAAAGCATGTTTTCCTATAATGGTTTGAGCAGCATAATATAAATCCTTGACCATGAAAACCTACCCCTAGCATTTGGAATCACATTTCATATCATTATTAATTTAAAAATTATTCAAGAAAAATTATATTTCACTAATGGTGATTGTTTTCAGGATGTAGCTCAGTAACTTTTGAAGATCATTCCATGGGCCATACCATACCTCTCCAGAAAATGTCATTCAAATCCATTCATTACAGTTTGAGTTATACTGTGAACAAACAAACACCTGTAAAACCATAACCTCCTTGGCAGGGGTAAAAATTTATCCAGCACATTTGCTTACCTTTAGCCTATAAAAAGGTATATGGCAGGATGTTCTCTTGCCAAAAATAGACTTAGAAGAAGAAGAATCCACTTTAATGTCATTGTAACACGTACAACAAATTTTTGTTTGGAGCCGAGGGCCCCAGCGCATGTTATGTTTGATGTTTGCCAACTTGCACTGTCAAAGAATATAAGAATATATATTTCCTGATGTATATTTACTCATTGTTTTCTCAGCGCATTCTTGTTGGCTTCCTATTCTCGTTTGGATGGATGCCTGTTGCAGCAACAGTTGGTAAACTGCTGTGCGTTACACTTTAAAGAGCCCATGGCATGCTTCTTCTTGTTTTCTGGCCTATCTACAATGTTACAACAGTGAATTATCCTCTTAGACATGACTTAAAGCAAAAAAAAAACAAAACAAAACAAAACAAAAACAAAAAAAAAACGAGGTGTACGTATGTTCTTGTACTTCTATTCAGAATCCTGGTGGAATTAATTTCCCTACTTTTGGATTGTATGTGATCATGTGGGGGAAGATGCAGTGATCACCGGTTGGATTTACTGACCTTGGAGCTACTTGAAAGGGGAGTGATGTTTCCACTACTCAGTGGAACTTAACAGCAAGTTAAAAAAAAAAAAAAAAAAAACACAACCTGGTGTCTCAGAATTAGCGTAATGCCTCTGGGGAACTTGTAGCTGAAGCAGCTTCACGTTGCTAGCGCAGTATGTGTAATGTGTGTCCCTGTGCTAATCCGTGATGACAAGTGATCAAGGAATGATGAGATTGAGTCTAAAAACCTAAGGATGCATCCAAACACACACACACACACAGGATAAATTCTAATTAATTAATTAATGCTGTTGTAACTCCTCCTGCTGTCCACTTTCAACACAACACCAGCAGCAGGAGTTGTGCGTGTTCACAAACTATCCTCTCATTTTTAGAAATAGGCTCTCTGGTTTTATTATTCTGAAATAAGTACAGACTATTTGGAGTTATGATGGACACAAAGCTAAGATTAAACATTAAATGGCTGGAAATGAACATGCCATGGGCTCTTTAACAGAGATGGGCAAATAAACCAGACACACATATGCAACATATTGCTGTGACCTTTAAAATGTTTTCTCTTGTATAAGTAGACCACAATCTTTGAAAACATTTCTAATAAAGTACAAATCTCATCTTTATATGGATTATCCTAGTGGATTATATCCAACTTTTTTTTCCAAGAAAGGTAATCGTTTTCAAAGAAGAAAAATGAAAACATCATTGTTAATGCTGATGCAACTAACATTAATGTCACTGCAAGAAAAAGAGCAACAGTGGTGTCTCTGGGAATCAACAGGCTGCTTCCTCTGCCTGTTTTGGAACCACTGAACTCATAGCTAGGGAGGCTCTCAAGCCTTCAGATGGAAACCACCAAGGCATCTTATTATGCTGAGTTATGTTAATAATATAGTTTGTTTTAATCTAACCATTTTGTGAATGAGACTGTAGACTGTAACCAGGATCATGTTTATGTAGTAATGTTATGTTAATACAGATCTAACTGAATTAAACATATTTTAGAAAAGACCCAAATATGTAACATGCAAAAAACTAAACAGAATTTTAAGTGTATTTTCATTTTATGTTATTAATTCCAAGCAATTTTTATTCTAAACACTCGGATCAGCACCAAAATATAATGAATAGTTCTATGGGCCATAACCTATCTCTGCAAAAAATTCTGTCCAATTCCATTCTTTACTTTTTGAGCTAAGCTGTGAACAAACAAGCTAACAAACACTGTCAAATTATTACTGCCAGTGGCAGAGGTAATAATAAACAAAAAAACAACTTAAGTCATGTTAAGGTAAGGTTTTGACTCTTATTCAGTTTATAGGTTCTTCACATGCAGTTGATTCTGTAGCTTTAACATGACCAGTGTATCTGGTTTACCTTGTGAGCCAAGGTGCTTGAGGCATTTGTGGTGTTGCAGCAGAGACCTCAGGTCATCAGGACTGGAAAGCACCTCTAAGCAGTCCTTCAGTACAGAGGGGGCAGAGGTCAGCCAAGACACGGTCTGTTGGACCAACATAATTTCAAATTCAAAACTGAAATGTATTTGTATAGCGCCAAATCACAACAAAGGTCGTCTCAGGACACTTTACAAAGTAAGGTCTAGACCTTACTATTATCATTATCATTATAGAGAAAAACCCAACATATCCCCCTTGAGCAAGCACTCAGTGACACTGGGGAGGAAATCTCCCTTTAAAGGAAGAACCCTCTGAAAGACCCCGGCTCTTGGTGGGCGGCCTTCTGCCTCGACTGGTTGGGGTGAGTGGATAGAGGAGAGAGAAAAGAAGGAAAGTAACAAGACACAACAAACACAACAACAAACAATCAAGCACTGGGTAGCTTGATCTGGCCGGTGACTGCTCATCAGAAACGTAGAGCTCCAGCGCCAGAGTTACCTGCAGAAAGGTACAGGGAGAGAGCGAGAGGACACACTATGGGAGAGAGACACAAAGTTAGTGATGTGTAATGGTGGCATATACAATATGTGCATGGAGAGAGGAGAGGAGGTGGAGGAGAGAGACTCAGAGCATCATGGTGCCCCCCAGCATCCTAGGCCTATAGCAGCTGGGTTACAGCATCTGGGTTCATAGATAAATATAACTCAGTATCATCTGCAGAGCAGTGGAAATTTCTGCCGTGTTTCCTGATAATATTGCCTAAAGGGAGCATGTATAAAGTGAAGAGAACTGGACCTAACGCAGAGCCCTGTGAAACGCCATGACTATCTTCAGTCTGTGCGGAAGATTCATCATTGACATGAACAAACTGAAATCTTTCTGATAGGTAAGATTTGAACTAACTTAGTGCAGTTCCTTTAATCCCAGTAACATGTTCTAGTCATGCGGAACCTTTGACGGACTGCTGTTTCCTGCAGTAAACCGTACTCATGTCCTGTGTTCTGTATTTGTACTGCGTTGTGCTTGCTTCCAGATTGTTTAGGAATTAAACTCACTATTTTCTAGGTTCATCTGAATTTTTCAGTGACAACATACGCTTGCACCACTTAAAGCACTTGTTTTGCAGAAGTTCTTGCTAACTACCAAATTTAACTTGCTACTTTAGGTCGGCTAGTTTAGAAGCTAGCTAAGCTAGTAGCTTAATCGAGAGCAATGGCTTCCCCCTCTTCCTCTCCACCTTTCTCTTGCTCGGAGTGTCGCATGTTCAGTTATTCCTCTGCCTCCTTTAGCGATAATGGTACTTGTAATAAATGTCAGATGCTAGCAGCATTGGAGGCGAGGCTCACAGACTTAGAAGCGCGGCTCCACACCATGGAGAATAGGCCAGCTAGCTA